CCTACCTCCGGGGGGGGCTCTCCTGGGCTCCCAGACCGGCTTTGAGGCATAGCCCCAGGTCTTGGGGGAGCAGAAGGGAGCACTGCAACTTCAATAGCGCCAGAAAGCTGCCAGTTACCTCAGCACCACCACGAGTCACTGCCCCAAACACTTCATCAAACCAGGAGCCAGGTTCTAGCTCAATCATTCAACCCACCCGTTCATCCAACTCACCTTTTGAAAGTACAGAGGTAAAATAGTGAATATAAGCCTCATAAAGCCAGAAAATCCAGTTGGTTCATATTTAACAGCTTACACATCTACTACACTTCCCCTTAACATTTACGTAGGAGGGAAAAGCAGATTTGCCTGAAGAGATCTGTTAAAAGCTGTCACTGAGCCGTCCCTTCCCATTACAGTTTTGTATCAACATCCCAATGGAACAGCAAATATGATTATGGGAAAAGTTTAGTGGAACTGCTAAAATAGCTGCTTTTGAAATGAGTAGTCTAAAAAAAAAATAATTAACTACAACATATCACTAGATTAACACTGTGATGCTGTACAGCACAAAGGAATAACCAGAACTCTAATTTCAGTAAAAAATGGATTTAAAGTATTTACAGGTTCATAAAACCAGTTCATACCAGTTCAAACTTCATAGATCCCAGCTCTTCCTGCTTTGGGTTGCCCTCAAAATTCAAGATTAGAGTAAACCTGCATTTGTAACTTTTTATTTTTTAAAAAGTCAGGATGAGAAATACATTTCCAAAGTCTCCTTCCATCCCTTTTCCTAAGCACCTACTGTTAAAGCTGGTTTAAAGCTTATTAGCCGGTATTTTTAAATCTTACTCTGGACAGGGCATTGTCTGCATAGCATCTCAGCAGACAGATTGCTCTGACAGCACCAGATGTCCCCGAGCTGCCAGACGAGCACAACATTCCATTATTTTTAAAAAGCAGGAGGCAAGGCACTAATTTTGGTAACCAATGATGTTTACAACACATACCAACAACCAACCCTTTTATACCAACACTGACAGCTAAACATTAAGAAACAGCACAGACGTGGCTGCTTGTTTCCCGTTGAAGAATAAAATCTCTCGGGCACTTGAGAAGCTCAGCCTGAGAGGGCGTAAAGAAGTCTCAGGGCTTAGCATCACCTGGCTTCAGTCAACAGCACCTTCATGGCAGGCTGATCCCGAGACACGACATCAGCTTTCTCACACCACGGACACAATACAACAGACTTAAGTACTCGCTACACTACTGAAAACACATCTTTGCCCTGAAAAGCCTACACACTGTCATACGCTGAAGTACAACTTTGCAAGGTGCAAAGCACGAATATTCACCTAACCTGCAGTCAGCTTTCCACTTATGCCCACGCTCCAAGTGCCTACACTGTTGGAGAGAAAGAAAACTTAAAAAGCTGAAAGCTTAAAAAAAAAAAATAAAAAAAATAGGAAGACACTGATCCACGCTAGCATACATATAACACTGGCATTTTTAAATCAAAAAGCTTGAAGGTGCAGATGCCGGGTCTCAGCTCCCGCAGCAGAAGGCTTGCCAAGCTGCAGCTCCAGAGATCCCCAGCGAGCTGACTGCAGGAGGGTGGAGGATGGCCACCTCTTCCTCGCCCTACCTCTCACACTGATCGCCAAGTCCCAAGAACTCACTAACTATCCTTCTCTCCTAATCACCTCCTTTTTCTTTTGCTGATCCAGCATTGCACTAGCTTGTGCCACAACCCATACGCTGGCACAGGACAAGCTGTGAAATGCCCTTCACCCCCTGGTACCATCCTACCCTCACCAAGGAATTTCACTGTTTTATTCCCTCCTGATTAGCTCTGTGTGAATGCTTCCTATGTAAGAAGCCAAAAAAAACATGCTGAAAGCCCTTACGGTTTCTGAGAAACGCACCCGGGGCTCTGGAAAGCCCATTAGGTTTCTAGGTAAAAGCTGTTTCTATATAGTTAATGCTGCTACGCCTCTTGCGGAAACAAAGTGCAGGCCAAGGTAAGCATGAGAAGATACATTAATTGTATTAGTAGGATAATGAAGCCAATTCATCTGAAAACACGTTAGTATGATAGCTCACGAATTGGCTAAAAGTAATCGTCTATAAAACCACTTAGTATGAACTTTATTGAAATTTACCTAAAAATCGTATGTTGATATCAAATACACTGCTTAGTAGCAATGACTTGGCTACCATTTGTACATTGTAGCAACTATGTTAATTCAATTAAATACTTGTGAAGAACACAGTAACGGGCTATAGCTTACAAACACGTGTGAATGTGGTGGGTTTAGGGGATAAAACGACAACTGCCAGGGCCATTATAAGGCAGGGCTGCACTCCTGCCATGAGAACACTCCAGTTCTCTGGAACCTGTCTTGCCCCTGTGACTGCTCAAGCTTTTGCCTCACTAAATGCAAAATATGGTAACAGGTAGTAAACCAAGTCAGAGGATATTGTAGCAGAGTGCTTAATCGCTGGCTCTTGGAGAGCACACAATGATTCCCATGGCACCTGCAATAACTGCAGCATCTCCAGAAAGATGACATCCTCTGGAAGATGGACCCAAGCAGCAGACCAGAGTAGCACTGGTTTCAGACCACTGGGATGACCCAGCTGATATGGAAACAGGTTTTCCATGCCACAGACCTACATTGCACAGGACACGCAGCAGCACATGCACTCAAAGCAGGAACTTCAAGGACAAAGCAGCACAGACCATACAGTGGAAGAGAGCAAGCAATGCTGCATCTGAAGTGCTGGAATATATAGAAAGACACCACTGCATAAGGACTTGCGGTCGCTCAGCCTGTGGTTTCATAAGTAGTGGGAAAGCTGCTTAAAAACCAACGTTCATCCTCCCACACCCCTCTAGGAACTCATTCCCATCTTCACATCACACCCCCTCTATACTGGCACAGCTTTCCCCACAGCTGAGCGATTAACCAGATGGGGAAGAACTGATTTGGCTGGAGGGAAAGAAATCCATTTTTGTAGGGTGCGCTGAGATGCCCATCTGGTTCACCGTGACACCACAGATACCACTGAGAGCAGAACCATTGATGGTGAGAGGAGATGGCTACATCAGCTGGCACCGTTGGCAAAGCCCTTTGAGTGGAAACATGGGGCAAAGTTGGACTTCACAGCCGAGTTGAACCAGGTGCCAGTTAAAACAGAGCATCAAGTGGAGCCACCGGAGAGAAGGAACGCCCTCCCAGCACATCTAATGCTCAGACACATGAAGCCCCAACCTTAAACCACGCTCAACACGCTAACTGTAAACCTTTCAGGTTATTATTACACTGGTCGTGATGGTGCTCATTATTGTTGTAGATGGTTCAAGAGAAATGCAATTGTATCTTACCAGGGATTAGTGCTCTTGCAAGGACATGGTGGGGAAAGAACAGGAGTTTAAAGGAGGCACTTCCAGATTTCCCTGTTCCCTGCAGAAACTTCACAATTTCCAGCCAATGAGCAGCTCTGCAAGCAGAGCCACCCCAGGACATGCCCCTTGCTTTATACAAGGAATCAAGACCTCATCGATGGCTAAAGCTTAAGAAGAGGCTTCCGTTACATTTTACTTTAAGCAAACGCTGCCACAGTCCTACTGCTCCTTTCCCTGCCACAAACCTGCCTCGAACAGGCACCCACACTGGCACACTCCTGCTGCAGTGAGCCGCTTCAGGGAGCTAAAGTGGTCTCAGAGTAAGCCAGTAGCTACAGAAATCACCTTGCCAACTTGCTGTCCTGAAGTCCTCCTTGGTGGTGGTGACTGCACCGGGCAGGGGACGGGACTACAGCAGCACCAAGATGAGCTTTGCCTCTAACTGCACCCCAGGGTAGGTCCCAGTCCTGAGCAGAAGATGTATGTAAATACAGCCCCAGCAGTTTAATACAACATTGAAGGAGCCAGCCTGCTGTGAACACGCTACAGGAGATATGTGCACAGTGCTCTTTCCAAAAGCCACAACTAAAGGTCGTAGTGTTTTCAAGAACTGGTAATTCAAGGTTTTAAGAAGAAGTTCAGGTACCTACTTCCAGAATACCAGCATGCAAATAATTTCTAGACTTTGGCAAGCGCAGGAATGTAGCTCTGCGGCTTCTTTGCAGAATTGTCCTGAAGGCACACGAGGCTTTTCCAAAAGCCCATGAAGGAGCACTGTTTCAACAGTGAGCTCTGCACACCAACAGGATCACGGAAAGACCTAGTGCTCATGGTCCTGTTTTTCCAGGTTGTACTCCCACACGTGCTCAAAGGCGGTGCTGGCTGTATCTCAGGCACTACTGAGCTAGTACATTCAGCCTGCTCTGTCCCAGGAGATCCCACAGCCTCCCAACCTCTGGATCAGAGCAAATCTCTTTTGGTTACGCAGCAGAAGATCTAACTGCCCATCTCCGGTGCTGAAACTTAAGTCCCACCACCTTGTGCTACCCGAAAAGTCTTTTATATGCCATCTTCTATCAGTCTTCAAATTTTAACTATCCTGACAGGCTGCTTTCTAAAAGCTTCTAACTACATTCACCATTCTCTCTTGTTTTTTTCTTAGGGAAAACAGTATTCAAACAGCAGTGTCACTAGCACAGCAGGGGGCTAA